ACTCCCACATGTTGCCTTTTCAAATCCGGCCTGTATTCGTTTCACTTAGTTACCTATGTGGGAGGTAATCATGTATTTATGCAGTTCGTGGGATTCGATGCGCTACGCGTCCATCAACCGTTGCTTTCGTGCAAAAGGTATCTGATCGTTAATCTATGTGTACAATAACTAGAACGAAACCTGCGACCGCTTCAGGCATAGTTATATACTTGTCGGTGGCTTTTGGGGCTCAATGCGTAAGCGTTGACGTAACGATTTCTGCGTACGATCAATGTCACGTTTATTTAATTATTGTACACGATACTCGGTTACACCGGTTACTATTAGATGGAGCCACATGAAAAACGTGCGGTATAGGCGTGTTTCTGTGTCATGCTCGTGTCAGGAGTATATAACAACATATATATATATATATATATATATATATATATACATGTTAGCCGTGATCAGAAGGCGGGAGAAAGTAGTGTTGTCATCTTAGTTTGCACTCTGTGCCAGTTCCTCTTGCGGCAATTTTTTCAAGATCATCTATCAGGGTCTATCAGGGTATGCTAATCACATGTTTGCAAGAACATCTTGACAAGGAAGTGTTCAAACATATATATATATATATATATATATATATAGTGATTTTCAAAAATATGTAGCCACCTAAGTCATTGGAACAGAATGTATGTACACGCGTTTAAAAGAACTGACTTACGATATAGTTTTATGGCAACAAAAAGGACCCACTCTTAGGGAGCACTTACTTTTTCCGCAACGGTTTGAGCGACGTCGCTTGGAACAATCCAATCATTAGGTGAGATCATATGATCTTAAATATTTGTTAGAGATTTGCACATTCAGCTGCCTTAGTCATTAAAAAAATGTAGGGTTGTCTGAATCCGGGTGTTTTTCTTATACGTTTGCGTAAGATTATCCATATTTCTTAGGTCTTGATGATGTACAGCGTTTTTGATAGTGTCCAAAGCACGCATCAGTTTATGCCTGTATTATTTATTGAACCTACGTAGATAAAGCACCGCCCAGGACTTCCAAGACAAATATTATACATCTTCTAGGCGGACTAGAGTGCCTAAAGTGTGCTTGTCGAATTGCTACCAGAAAGGACGCTTCCCGTTCCTATAAGTAGACTTTCTTATATCAGACGGATAATAGATCTTACTGCGTCTTCGCAGATGTTTCTGCATTCAAATGTGATGAAATCCACAAAAATTTTGGGAAGCAACACAAATAGCTGATGAAAATATTAACCTGAAGTTGTGCTGTTTTTGGTCAGGATGCGTAATCGAAGAAAACGACCTAAATATGGTTCTGCCACTTTCCTTCTGCAAATTTTGGTGTGAGAAATGTTTGTTGTAGTAATCGATCAATTAGGAAAAAAGTTGACGAAATCTGTGCGAAAACTAAGCAACGCCGATCCGTAAGTAGTCATGGCATTTGCTAAGGATCTAGGCATTGGCCATGACATAGCTTTAAACCACTTGAAGAAAGCCGGTCAGAAAAAGAAGCTCAATACTTAGGTGTCACATGAATTTGTTCTATTGCATTTTCAGCTGCAAAACTCTATAGAAACACAACAAAATTTAGCCATTTCTAAAGCGTTTGATTACGGGTGATGTGCAAAACAAATATGGTTTTCAATTTTTAGCCAAGCCCAGACAGACGCCAGAGAAAATCATTTTGTGTGTTTGATAGGATTGAAAAGGAATCGTGCATTATAAGCTGCTTTTGTCTCCAAAACAATGAATTTAAATCTCTACTATCAACAACAGGATTATAGCGAATCAATCAAAAACATCGATCATTGGAATTTGTGAACAAAAAGGCGTTGATTTCCACCATTACAACACCAGACCATACACATCATTAGCTACCCGGCAAAGACTAAGCAAATTTAGATAGGAAATTTTAATGCATTCGCGGTATGTCCCCGATCTCGCATCACTGGACGACTATCTTTTTCTCTTTCTGCAGAACTCCCATAATGGCGTTGACTTTGTTTCAATGCCTGGGCGCAAAAATGTTTTGCTACATTTTTTACACAAGAAACCGCAGAAGTTCGACAGTGATGGAATCATCGTACTGTTCGACAAAAACAGAACGTCATAGGATGGATTTAGTTTAATGATACTGATATATGATTTACCGTGATTTTTGCTTATAAACTGTCAGTATTTTTTTGTCCACCCTATATATATAAAAGTAAAAAGTAAACAATTTAATCCAGTTAGTATCCACTTGCTCAAGACTGTACATTTAGTATTTTTTTTTATTGTTCTGACAGAATAGAAGAATATAGGTTGCATTTCGCCATGCGTATGCCTTCTTGGTTATGTGAGCGAGCCGCTGCCTTCCGATAAAATACAGCGTTTCGTAGTAGAGTATTAAGCCGTTGTTCGGTGAGTCACGGTGTCACCGGGGTTGCGACGAACTTAATGTAGTGAATCTGCTGCGTTGCCTTCGATCGCACCCCTTAACGGGCACCTAATGTCTGCCGGCCATTTACTCGCGTTACAGCCCTTTTTCACACCGTCCGAATCCTGGAGCAATTTTTCCTTTTATGCTTCGTTATTTCTTCCTTGTATTTTCACGTTTCCATAGATTCGCTCTGTTTCTGGACACAATCTGTCTTAACTTTCAGTGCTCGACAAACTCCTTACCGTTCCAAGTCCGTTGTGTCTCTCGGCATCAACCGGTAATCTACGGATTTTTCACGTTCCCCAGACCTTCAGCGGTCTCGTACTTTGCTAGTATCCCGCCGGCCGAAGTCTTCTAGAGTAACAGTTATAGTCCTTGTGCTGTTCAATAGCCTTTATATTTCTTCCACCCTTCGTTCGTGTTCCATTGTTCCCGGTGTAACGCCTTGACTGTCTGGTTCGGTTCGCGTCATCCACATGAATGCTTTCGAATGAAAGTATATTTCTCTGTCTAAACTAGGATATTCACAAACAGGCGTTAGGGTGATTCTAAGGCAGAAGTGCAGCCAAGCGATGATTAGCGTTACGTGAAGTGCGGGCAGGCTGAAACAGAGCTCTATAGTAAAACTGCGGTGATCAGCGTAGTATACCTCAGTATCCATGAGCAGGCTGGTAGAGTCAACCGTGGAATGGCAGAATTAGATTAGTACTTTAGTCGCAGCGCTAGAAAATCCGGCTCTTTTACGATATTACTTGTATACCTGTTCTCATTTTAGACACAGCACCAGCTGCCAGCATCGCTCAAGCTGGCAGGAAACATCATTGGCTTGCCTTAGGTGGCCTCGCGACTGCCACTCTGTACCCATCGTCCCTGGCGTTGCGAACTGCCAATCAAAAATATGACTCTATTATTTCATTAAATTAATTAAATCGGGACAAAGTAAATTTCGCTAATTTGGATTCATAATTGACGCGGCTGACTGGTATACGGACTATTTATCTGTTTACCAGTTTTATCTGATTTATCAGTTTGATTTGATCAGTTTATTTTCGATAGTCATTCAGTCCTAACAATGCCAGCACTACCGTTCTGTAGCAAACACCAAGAAAAATGGTTACCTTCCTCATGATGGTGCGGTGGTAGCGTATTTATTTACTTAATTTTGAGACACGTGAGGTGGTTCAACACCGGGACAGATTACGCTTAAAGCTAAAAGGAACTGCTAGCCGTCTACAACAGCCTTTAGCCACAGCAGTGATACCAAACGTAACCCTCAAAACAGTTACTTTAATGAGATGAGAGGCCGTAGTCACATGGCTATTGTCCACTAGCCGGCGCTATGGGAAGGCCCGACAACGTCCCCCAATGGACGAACGATTAAGGTCTGTTTCGACGCTGCGGCTATAGCGAACAGGGGTAGAGTGTACAGGTCACTCGCAGTGCGGAGAACATTTAGGAATGCCGTATCAATTCGGTGGGCCTTCGTCAATGACAGTACCTCTGTAGACTCGACTGATACTTCAATGGGTTCAATTTTGAACTGAGTTATGAAGGTTTTGTTAATTTATTTGCCTAGGAAATTAATGACGAGCGACTTAGCTGAATTTTGAAAAATGATATGATACCAATTAGCTAAAGTACGCAATTCATGTTCGCGTTGAAAAGACTGCATCTTTTAGCTGTAAACTGTTCTCATGATTGAGAAGCATTGTTTTGCAATACATTCCATAAAAGAATAAACTATCTCTTCATGTGCTTCCGTATAGCATTGTCGGTGAATTGCTGGAAACGGTAGATAACTAAAAAATATTCTAATCAATATTTTCTGTATGCAGGATCTCGCTATCGCATATAAAATTTGGAAAAAAACAAGTATATTTTTTTTTCAAACTTGTTGAGTGAGATCATGGCTTCTTGTAGCCGATATGTGAATCGTCACGCAGATCAAAACTTACGCCAAAATCTAAATTGACTAACTATAGTCTATTATGCTTAATATATCACAGCGTTAATCATCACGACGTTAGCACAGACTATATTATATATAGTTTCACTCGAAAAATTTGGTAAACAAGCAACTAATCAAATTATAGACGCAAGCGAGATAGCGATATCGTCAGCTACGATCAATAATTTAGGCATCGATTGGTTCAACGTGCTGTGTGCTCCTATCTGACCATATTCGAAACATGCCTTCACGGTGTATGTAGATACATACATACATACATAGATCCACTCCATGTATAGTTTAGCTACCACGTGGGTAAAAGAGGTCCCTATTCCAAACAAAGGGTCATTTTTACGGCTGATAACTGGCAATGCCAGGGCAATGGGCACAGAGCAACGGTAGTGAGGATGCCAAGTCAAGCCAATGATGTTTTCTCCGGCTTGAGCAATACTGCTGATACCATGTCTGAACTTTGTATAGGCCTATAGCTATATCGTAAAACAGCCGCATCTCCCAGCTCTGTAACTAAGGTACTAACCTAATTCTGCCATTTCACCGTTGGCTCTACCAGCCTGCTTATGGATCCTGAGGTGTACTACACTGCTCACTGTAGTTTTACTATCGAGCCCTATTTCAGCTTGCCCCGATTCTGCGCAAGGCTAGTCATTGCTTGGGTGCACTCCTGCCTCAGAATCACTCTGGCGCTTGATCGTGAACATCCTAATCTGGATAAAAATGTACTTTCATTTAAAAACGTTCACGTGGATGACGCTAGCCGAACCAAGGCGAAACAGCCAAGGCGTCCAACCGGAAACAACGGAACACGCGCCGGGCACGAGAAAAACATAAAGGCCATCGAACAACACTAGAACCACCGCTGCCACGGTACAAGACCCAACCGGCCGAATGTTGGTAAAACATGAGACAGCAAAAGGTTTGGGGAGCATGAAAAATCCATGGGCTGCCGGTTGGCACCGAGAAATACAACGGGCTTGGAACGGCAGTTCCTTTAGATACCACGGTCCAATGTTGTAGAGGATATTTTCGTACTCGGATTAGTTTAATACTTGAACACGACAAAACAATCAGCTACTTTTAGGCAACCAGAAATGCGAGTATGCGCAATCAAATGCCAGCATAATTCTTCTGGGCTCTATTTCACTATGGTGTTCAAAGAAACTTTCAACACCGAAGTACAACATCCCCGTTCATAATACCACCCGTATACTGAATGCTGTATACGTAGTACGTGTACTTACCATTGAATAATACTGATAATGAAGTCCTTAATCAAGAAGCTGCTTCTGCGCAATCAACGTCAGCGTGTGTATGCTTTCATTTGTGCGACTCACTACCCGAGATGTTATTTTAATGCATCGTTAGATACATAGTATCCCGTAAATGATGTACGGGGTTTTATCTATAGCCTATACGTACTGCATTCGGTAAAAGGCTTTTTTTCATATTTGTAAGGCTATAACCCCAATAGATCGTTAGGTCGGGGGTCGGGAATTAGTATTACCGATAAACTTGTTACGATCGTTAGTTTCCTACCGAACAGGTATTCATACTGGCTATTTATAGGCTTTTTACCACATAGGTTCGGGTTCCACAGATTGGGTGTGTAACATACAGTGCGTAGTTTTACGATAAAGTAGAATTTGCAAAAAGTACGTACGTTCGTTCAGAAATGTACTCTTGTTTTCTCTACTAGACGTATCTTGGACGTTGGGTTTGGCCTTATCGCCGACGCCGTTGTCGTTATCCGAGTTTTGTTGATGAAGTGTAGCCATAATAACTCGTTTTCCATCTCGGAGCCGTTTACGTCGCATATGGATGTTTCTCAAGCTGACAGCGATTCCGTCAGGAGGCGGCGGCAGTGGTAACAGTGCAGGAATACCTTCGACGCCATTCTTAGATACGATCACCGAGCTGCCATTCGGAAGCAGGACACCCTCGGCTAACCAAGCGGCCCCTTCCAGATCCGCCGCAGCGACCTCGTCATAGTCAGGCACATCTAGGACATATCATCACAAAAGGGAGACATCGCCTTTTGAGACATCGCCTGTTATCGCTTGGAAATATTGTAGACTCGAAAGGACCACTTTCAATTAATACGAACTCGCTCTAGTTTGCAAGCATTTATGAAAGTTACGGCGTTAGGAACTTCATACCTAAAATCTACTTTTCTAAATGTTAAAGCAAAGCACAGCTTCCCAGATCAAAACACGTGTAAACGGGTCTCGTTAGATGCCGATCTATCTTCGAAGTTTTATAGTCTCCGCCTTATAGAGTAAGTGAAATAATTGCTCAAACTTTTACTCGCGCGGTATATGCTCAGTTGAAACCAGGCGAACGATTTATGCATACTCAACTACGCTAAACTCTTTTGAGCTATAGGACACCGGAACTTTACAGTTTTGCGTAGTTTCAGTCCACGCAGAAGTGGCACCAGAATGCTAATTAAAACTAGCAAATGAGTAAACTACCAGATAAACCAAGTAGGATAAATTTCTTTGTTAAACGCCCTTTTAACCTTAAAAGAGGAGTCTCAGTTGATTTGATCTGAACGATTAACGTTGTTTATTACTGAACTATAATATAAATATTTATGATATCGAAATTAAGGTAGTGAGTAAACCTCTCCGACCTTTCACTCTCTGCCAAAAATGGATATGAGTAATATTCAGTTGAATACCTACTAGACTATTAGTCATCGTCGTATCTTGTCAAACAAGTAGTTTAGATGTCCGCACTTCAACTGCGGATTAAAATCAATATAGAAAAAAAATTGCGACTGCTCAACAAAAGGCTAATAATGTGTGTGCTTATTGTAAAGTAATTCACTGCAAGGCCATGTAGCCTTCAGGTAAAGAAGCTTATAGGACAAGCTAGGTGCACGATGACGTCGAAGATCGTTTAATTCATTGTACTCAACTTATCCTTTATGAAAATATAAATTTTCCTACTAGCCAAAGGAACTGTGTCAATTTTTATCTTTTTATTATTCGATTTTAATTGAGATATTTCACTGCTATACCTTCAAGTAATTTGGAGTAAATAAGGCGCTATTCGATTACTTACAAGGAGCGGTGTTTTCACAAAACTATAGTAGTGTTTACTCAATGAGTCACGGAAATATTATATAGATCTATTTTAGGTATCTAGGTAAAACAACTAATTACTCGCATCTATAGCATTTGCTAAATACCGCTGGATAAAGTCGAGCCTTATGGAAAACAGACGCCAATAAAATAGTTGTGCCCTCAATATCCTTTGCGGTTACCCGCATACTACGGGCAAAGTTTTCGGCATCCGTTAGCCCAGACTCCGATCGGGGGCTACTTGGGGGTTTTGGTTGAATGCTGGTTGCTGCCATTGCCTCATATTGGCGATAACGAATGGTCATTTAGCCTTCGAGCGTCAGGGCCTTAGGAAATGATGGGATATAAAGGGAGAGATACCTGTTAGGAGAAATAGGGCGGCGACATATATGTTGTGAGCTTCTTAGCATTTGCCGCTTGTTTCGGCGGTACGCTTAAGTTGGGCCTCCGCCTTAGCGTGACTCGAGGCTTCTGCCACGATGACATGCCGCCATTACCCACAATAACGGTGTGCCAGTAAACGGTCAGAAACGTTTGAGGCATTCCGCTTTATGGTATTTCCACACGTACGTCATCGACGCAGCCCACGAGAACCGCTATAACCGCAAATTTGTGCCAGATCTATTTTGACGGTGGTCTCTATTTCAAGTGTTTGGTTTAGTCATTATTATTACATATTTATTTTAATATCGCGTTTGTACTGACCTGTGAGAATGAGAAAGCGCGCTTCCCATGTATGAAAATATATTTTGCACACGATCTGTGATTGTTTATATAAACAACTATATTTTGGATCTGTTTTCGAACGTATTATTTTAATTTATAAGCGGATGTGCGTGTTCCTATTGTGCTTATAGTTTTGTAAGTAAGCTATATGCGTGATAGAAGTATGCGAATTTCCAAAAGTTCTTTTCTCCAAAACAAGTAATCACATACTTCCATGGATATCTTCCTTTGTATGGTGCATCGCTAGATACTGTTAACTAGGCTTATATAGATATATATATATATATATATATATATCGTACTAAAATATGTTTTCTCACAAGTGGTTCGTACTGTATGATAATTTGGATCCTCTGGAATCGGAGCTAAGCCTAATAAACTGTCTTTTTACCCACCGTTGCTCTGTTTTCGCACTCTAGCGTGATTTAGAATGGCAGCTAATGTTGGTGAAAAGCTGAAGATTCCCTTGGGTTTTTCTGTGTGACTCGATGCGTTAATAATTTCCAGAACTGAACTTATAATGCTATCACCCTGTAGTGCCGAATGACGATCTTCACCTTGTGGCACCGAGTGGGGTATCCGTTCCACTAGAACCTGTTCTTCATTCACCAATCGAATTTTTTCAGTGGGGTTAATAGAACTGGGTTCGGAGACTACAGTGGCACCCAACGCACTGTCAGTACTCGCGGATATCACCAGTCCCTGGAACGCGTTAATAATCGAACTCTTGTTGAGATGCACTGGGCTGATACTTGCTTCAGTCGTTGCTATACCTGTAGAGGATTCGGACACTATTGAGAACGAAATATCTGCGCTTATTCTCTCAGTACTTGTTTCCTCAGTGGTAGGATTCGTGATCATTATATCAAGCATGGGCAATGCTATATTCGAAGCATAGGTTACTTCGATGCCAAGCGTTTCTGTTGGAACGACACGCTTGTCTATGGTCCTCGTCGACGTCCGTTCTATCGAATCCACGTCCGAAACAGAAGATTCTTTTGGTAACGTTGTAGTATTTAACGCCTCATTTGTAGAACTAACAGCCACAGTTACGGCGCTCGAGGCCCCAGAAAGTGTCGACGACTCCATATCGCCGTAAGTGGAATTTTGGGCCTGATTCAACGAAATATTGGAAGTCACGCTGCTTTCATTACTATATGCGGGATCACTGTAAGTATCCTGAGCCCTTAAATTTGTCGCATGAAAGTCCGACAATGGCGTAGTGATTTCCGAGTTGTCTGCTCCACCTTTCGAAGCCGTGTCTGAAGATGGCTGCTGAGAGATCAACTGTTCGGTGTTTGACACGACCGCAACCTCGCTAGACAGAGCTTGAGTAGGGCTATCTGTCGGTTTTTTGCTTTCACCTGGGATATTTGTAGGAGTTTCCGTGGCTACATTCCCCTCTTCGAACGTGGTTAATGTAGGACGTGTGGTATTTTTTTGGACTTGAATGTCGACTGGGGTCCCTAGAATGAGGTTTTCGTTCTGCTGTTCACCACCTACCACTACGATTACACTGTTGAGTGGCATCGTTTGGATGATTGATGATAGCGTTTCAGACCGAACCGTATTTCGTGTAGCTTGAGGTCGTTTGGATCTAGACGATTTCATAGAATTCGTTGCTAGATTTGGCGTTGACGTAGCAGGAGCCACAATCGTAGTGGGATTATCTTTTAAAATTGCGTCTAATGAGGTGGTCTCATGTAGATTGGTTAAAGTACTTTTAGTCGTGATGGCCTCCAAGTTCTCTGAGTCCCTATTTGGAGGTTCCTCTTGACGGTCCTCCTGGGATACCTCTCTTTCGACGTTTTCAAGACTAGTTGAATTTGTGAACTTGATCTCTTTCTCATAATCTACGACCTTTGTTATATCCATGACCACCGTTGTTATCCCTGGCAGATTTGCGTGCTCGCTAGAGACGTTCCTGCTATCTTGCATGTTCGCGACTGTTAGATTCAGTTCAGAGCCACTATTAGGTAAGTCAGCAAACACGGGAACGGGGGCCATTTTAGTTTCATGGATACTAGATGGCTCGGCTATATGCGGGTCGGCAACAGAATTGACTCTGATTGAAGTCCACCAAGGAGTAGCCCCGGGAAGATCGATTTGGGGGTCTGGGGGCTTATGCGAATCACGAATTTTATTCCATAACACGCGGGGATCTTCTGTCGATGGCGAAGTGAGCGCAGGTGATGGTGAGTACGGCACAACAAAGAGAGGCTTCGGCATCGGGATCTCGGACGAGGAAACCACCTTTTCAGAAAAAAATGCCGAAGCAAAACAAAGCATTAAAGTTATCGGGAGCTATATATTAAATTTAGTCCATATATGTTGACAGCCGTATAGTTTTGAAGCTTTGTAGATAAACTTAGTAGCTTATTCTTAGGTCATATGCTACCTTTAGTTGTAGGTCTGCATATTTTTATTTTATTGAATTTATCCATGTCCTAGTATTACTACTATTATTGTATAGCTGAGAGTTATTTATTGCGTCCTGCCTTTTCCAGATATTTACGCAGATATGTTAATGAGTAGTACTGCAATTAAGTATTTGCGCGCTTGGATATGGGCTGCGTAACCGATGCAAGGGTTCTTACTCGGTAAAACTCGGGTCGTTGTGGGTCCTGCTCTACACGTATTGGCAGAAGTGGCACATTTTTCGGCTGGTTATTATCATCGCGTTTACCACTAACTCTATTACTTCCGTTTTGTGTTTGGGTAGTGTTAGTAAGGCCGTCGGCTTCCCCGTGATTTGCAGATAGTGTTTGGTTTATCGCAGTAACATTAGAACGCCACCAATTGAGTGATACCGAAGGCACATACCGCGACATTCGGGTCGTGGCCATACATCCATCAGATACGGAAGCGTAAAGCATCGCCAGACACAGGGCCAGTAATATCCGATCGCGCATTATTTCCGAAATTATGGTCAATCGATAAATTTTACACACGCACAATCACGCAATGGGTGGAGAAAAAGGGGTTCCTCGGTTGATACTCACTAAAGCACGCTCTACACAGAGGCAAAGTTTCTAGGCCCTTTAGAGGAGATCAGCCTCGATCCATATTCGATACTGGATTCTATGCACTCACGAACGTTTGATAATTGTGGCCTTGGTCGCGCCAACGGATCATGCGTACCTTTCTAACCTGACCGAACACTTTTTTGCTTGAGAGCGTGTTCACTTTGTTGGCGGAGCTTTGTGTACGGTGCGCATCGTAACGACAAACCAACTAACCAACCGGTCGACTACACTCGAATCAGATACTGGAGTCGGCCACGGGACAAACGTCAGTGATCAGAGAATCTACCGGATCGATCTCGACTAACCAACCAGTGCGATATTCGACTGACTTCGAGACGGGTACGAACCCCTCCCTCTTCTTCCTCTGCAGGTAGATAGTGGTGAAATCTATAAGAAGACTGTAGTCGACTCTCACTGCGGCTTCTTAAGTCGGCAAGCCGGATAGGCAGGTTTTCTATCTTTGGTGGTCGTTCGCGATAGTGGAGGTTCATGTATGGGTAGGTAACTTCAACCAGGAGAGAAGCCGCCGGGCGGCATGGGACCCAGCTTATGGTGATTGCCGTAGTCGACGATTGGTCGTCCGAACGCTGGTGCTGCCGCTATTATGGATGCCACCAAGGATCGCCTGATCGTCTCGCTGATACCAAGCTACGATCAATCGGTCCGGTTCGGTTCGACCGGCAGCCCTCAACTCGACGCCCTATTCGTGCCATATATCTCTTGTGCTTACGCGGTATGAGTTTAAACGTAAAAGGAGAAGCCTAAATAAAACAAAGCTTATAGAAAAAAAACGAAGCTATTAAAGAGGATCACTCAAAAAGGGGGGATTTATCATCATCACTTTGATTGCCAATCTTGAGAATGGTCCATGTGGACACACAATTGTTATTTGGCTCACATTTGTTCGTCCTTTTGATTAAGAGTTTATGCCGACTTTTGACTCAGCTTCTTGAGCGAGATATCCACAATCTTGATGATTCGTCGTGGTATGCGTGTGTGTGTGTGTGCAAAACGCGTTAAATATGCTCATGCGTTACATCTTCCTGGATATGTGAGAAACCTTGTAGGATATCAAACCTTCAATGAATTGTGTCATATTTAATAAATCTAGTGAAAAACTTGTGTCATTGTTAGAATATATCTGCTTCGACTTAACACACTATCTTAGTTGTTTTTGCATCCTGCCATTTCTATGTTATTATCAAGTTCGGAGTATGGTGCACCTCGACAGATTGATCAACTTGTGGCACTTCATGCAATGTTAGCAAAGGTCGACGTGAAGTGGCATGGCCGGCATTAACAAAAAGTTTTATGCCGCTGCGCTGCAGTTCAAGTGGAGGGAGTAGCTTTGTCAAAACAATTATACGGCGTGGCGTGCAGAAGGCATTGACAAGAAATCAGCAGAACTCCAATACAAAAGTGTCAAATGCTAGACAGCCACCACAGCATCCCTAGCAGGCCGTTAGCACTCGTTCGACATAGGAGCCTTCAAACAATCGGTGTTTTAAGTTGAGAGATGTTCTTTTCATCTTCGAAGAAGCGTTGTTGATATTGTCGCTCGGGCCGCTCGATGGTTGAAGCTAGGCCGACGGATTTTGTCGCTCCGCGATGAAGATTCTTAGAAGACGCAAATCGAACAAAAATACCCCACTGTGCGTACACCCCCCAGTGTACTATATTTATACCACAGATACACAATCGGATGGCCTACTGCTTATGAATCTGTGAACACAGCGTTCCTATTCAGGGGCGTCAAAAAGATTGATTTGAGACGTTCTTCGATCAGTCGCCGTGGAACATTCAGAGGCTACAACAGTTGCAGGGTTAGTTTACGACGAGCGAATAGTGCCTCTTCATGTGGCTCCTGTTGGTTTTGCGGCCAATTAGGACAGCGTCGACTATCGAAACTAATTTTTACGATACCTTTGCATAGTGCCATTATAGTTATTCATACGTAACAAAGTAGAGCTCAGCTTCAGCTTCAGTATACTTTGGCTTGGGGTCAGCTCTACGCTATCTATACGAGGAAACAGTTGTACGTGAAACAAATAAGCCGTTTATCGTCAGTTGAAATGCCAAGGTTGTTTGTTGTTAATTTAAGACCGAGTCTAATTAGGAGCATACGAAGGCGCTACTAGCTGCGGACAACACATTCGCCTGGCAGACGTTTCCCAAAATGTAAACAAGACCTGTAGTAGATTATTAAGTGCTTTCTAAGGACGCAAGGACAACTACCGTTGAGCTTAGCATGGCTACATTTATGTCCCAAAGTGTTGTTGGGTTATAGACGCTCGAGTAAATATTGAACACATTTTCAGGTCGCTACCGGCAGGTCGCATCATAATAACGATCATCTTATTTGTAACAAAATCTGACTAGTACTCTATCGTATTGCCAAAGCGTTTTAATTATTTACAGAGTTAACCACAAAGCATATTTTATCCTGTTTAAGCTTTTGTCTCTTCCCTTGACATGTACCAACCATTGTGTAGTTTTCACTCAGACGCCCCGTACGTAGGATTACAATCAAAAGATTGTTAAGGTTTACTAATCACTTGAATACGGCGTTAACATTATACACGGTGGAACACGGCGTTTCTTAAGAGTCAGTAAAACGAATTCAAGAACGTTACAAATGTATTTTTATCACTCCTTTATTAAACTGGGCTGAGCATTTACACAATCTGATTCTAAAGAAAAGTTGTTTAATCAAGTTTTGTTTTGTAAATGTTTCTTATAAATATATAAGCACCCCAGATCTTAGAACAATAGTCGTCATAGGTTCGTTGCCAACCCCCAGTTCTTTATGTGACACCTTTTAGGGCTACTAATGACCTTATTGATTTCAGGGCCGACATCACAAGCTACGAGCATTTTAGTCGCGTATTGCGTTAATCGATGCACCGTTCCTTCTGCGTGATTCAGTCCGCGGAGCAATCAATGAGTGAACCTAGACGCCAACCGTACAGCCTCGCCTTATACGATTCGTTCTGTTCAATGGCGGCTCTGGTCAAAGCTCTCGGATTTGCAGGCCTACTCTGCTTCGTCCGACGCAAAAGGTAAAACAATGAAAAATGTGCTGGGAGGTATCGCTTGCTTTTGGCCATTAGCTAGTAGAGTCGGTGGATAGGCAGTTCGGTAAACCCGGGAAGCTAATTGCGATCACGCTAGTGCACTTCGGAGCGGTCCTGCACTGTGTCCACCCTCTGCTGCTTGGTACAGCGCTTAAGCTAAGCACGAAACTGTGTGAGAGGCTATTGCATGGATCGGCTGGTCAGGTTCTAGGACGTTGGGTTCGGCCCAAAGTGGGGCTGAATCACGCAGGCACGAGTAAGTTGCCGACGACCCAGGATTAGTGCCGCTGCCGCGTCCGAAAAGTGTCGTGCGTGAGTAGAAAACGAACTAATGCACTGCATAGTCATCCTTGCGCTGCTGCAGCAGCGGGAGCGGCGTCATTGTACCAATTGCTGCTTACTCTGTAGGCTACAGGCAGCCAATGACGGACAACAGAGGCTACTGCTAACCAGTAATAAATAGTAAAACACATCGAAAGGCGTGCGTTTTTATGTTGGCATGAGCGCCACTGTAGTCTCATTTATATAGACCATCGGTAAGTAGGAAGATAAACTTTGACCTCTCCACGCCAGTGAGGTTTTACGGCTTGTTAGAGAGAAACGAAAGATGGATATATATATATATATATATATAATGCCTCACGATGGACGTTTGTTTCTAAAGCTTCAAGATACATTAGAACGAAATATTTAATGCCTTTGTGGTAGCAAACGATAATATACATACACAACTTCGATCAGCCTGTTTTTTTATATAAACAGCCAGGCTCATGCACGTACTTCTATATTCCTCGCCCGTGAACCGCTCGCTATAGAGATACTACCTCATTTAGTCTATGCTAAAGCGAATTCAGTCTTAATCGACCTAAACCTAACCGAGTTCGTCACTGCTGTTACGTTACCTTATTGCGCTGTCTCCGTATGGCCCCACTGCTGTTATTCTTCCTATCCCAACCTTTGCAGTTTTCTCGTTGTAGGTAGCTTTTTCGTTATAGCGTTCTGGCCACATTGGAATTGAGATAGAACTTATTTCTTGTGCTCCCATTACAATGAAACCATCAGTGTGTTACCGTTGGCCTGTTACCTTTTGCACTGTTTCCAAGTGAGACAGATTTATTTTTTATATGTTATGCCATTTGAAAACCAATACGAAAAGCTGTAAAATGAAATTATTATACTTTTACAGAGGCTCGACCATTTTCATGAGGAAATACGATATTAGCTTTATCATAAAAATGGGAAAATGTTTATTGTCGAAATCCAAAACAAACGTTTTTGCCTATTATGCAAGGCTCAATGAACTAACTATTGTATCTCAACATTTATTGGTAGAGCTAAAAAACTCGTCTCCTGTCTGTATTGGAGTTTATGTTGATATATAGGTTTTTTAAGGCTAAGTCAATTTTTCCATATATGGTATTGACGTCGTATTGTCTTCGGGTCAAGCGAGTCAAGATCTACACAAAAAAAAACCGCGAAAATTGTTATAGTGGTTAGACAAAGTCATAAGTGTACACGCTGACATCAAAAGAAATTACCACATAAATCATTGATTTATTTTACAAGTTTTATGCATGAGTTTATGACATTTCTGAAAGTTAGAAATAATTAGGCCTGATAATTAGGCCTTTGAACAGTCGCTCACACCGAAAACAATCTGAATATATGTTTTCCGATCACAAAAGAGACCTACTTCATCTGTCTGTTTTACGCGCTGGTTGACGTTCGGGTGCCATGGTAGGTAGATATACCAAGCGAAGCAAATTGAAATTGATGGTGACCACGAAACAATAAGTCTGTAACACTAGATTTTCGAAATAAGCTTTGTAGACTCATATCGGGATTCTGCAAGCTTTTATCATAACGATCGCCTTTGTCAAACTATGACGAGAAATTTGCAAACCGATATTCAGTTTTTTGTCAAAGTAACATTATCGGAAATAAATGATAATTTGGCACAATAACCCAATGATGAAGGTCACAGCACCAAAGTAAATGTCTATTTTTTTTTATTCAAGTTAGCATACGTAGTGTGTCATAGGAGGAAATGGGTTAACTTCACGTTCATCGACACCTACGCCAAATTTTCTTCATTACAGCAGAAAAAAATCATCCCATTTGCAGAAAAATTCAAATGTTACGCAATGAACAACGGATCCCTAGTAGTTTTTTAACACATTATTAGACCCATACAGTCCTATGGCTATACTGCTGTTTTTTACATTCACATTTGTATCAGTTGGCGACATTGAATCAGCTAACGTACACACAAATTTATAAAAAGCCTGTTTGTAAAATTCCGTATGAGAATGTACAAACATTTATTATATTATACACTTAACTCACTTCTAAATTATTTTTTTTCCTTATAGCTGCACAGGAGCATTATTCTTATGATCGTTTTTGCTTCATATTCAGATAATAGAATCCTTTGAAGGAGCTCAAGGGCATGCGAAGCAGTGGACTAATCCTTTGCAATTATAGAAGTGAATTATATCACGTTGATCATACAGATTGTTTAGAACGTTGCCTATACGTTATACCTAATTAGCTGAAGCTTGAGGTTAACCCTTCATGTAATACGTTTTCTCGCCCTTGTTTTTCGGAAATATTTATCTGGACGGTATCGCGTATTTCAGACGACGAAAAGAAAAAACACAAAACGTTATTTTGACGCGAATCAAACGCTGCTTTGGGTCCTGTAAGATTCTAAGGGCAAACTGGCATCCTTTCAGTTAGACTTATGGATAGTTTATTTTCCTTTGTTATTTTAAAATAGATTCTATTATCCAAGTATGTATTTACAGGCAAAAAGGAAAAATAGCACTCAGATTCCTTGCACTTAAATTTTGTCTATTTTTGCACAAGATTGCGTAAATTTCCAAACATTCTGTGGTGCATGACTTTGATTCTGACCCGGTGCTTCTAACATGATGCGGTCTAACTCATTGCATCTAAGTGGATATGTTTGCTGTTTGTTGCTGAAAGTAATTAGTAGCCATCGGCAGTCTCAGACGTGGGAGTGAAGCGATGACGAAGGATGTAATTGAAGGTACATCTCGTCGTTCATTCCATTAAGACTGAAGAGAGAATCGAAGATCGTCGCAGACCGGATGCTCGAGATGATGCTCTGGGAAATGAGTTTGACAACCCGGTCAGCCCCTTGTAATTAGTTGCGATATAAATGGGAAAAAAATTAGGAGGATTCGCCGCCTGCTTAGATCCTTCATTATATGTGTAATCAATTTGCCTTGTGATAAAAGTTTTTTCTTGATAGCAGGTAGGTAAGTAATGTAGCCTTTCACGGTAGGCGTCCCTTTTGTAGTTGTGTTGGTCATATCAGGTACTACTTAGAAAAAAGTAGACAGAATTATTTGTGGATGGCCTGTCGCTGATTTACCGTCAATTTCAACGCACGGCAACTGGTCGGACTACTCGAAGCACCAACATGGCGTCCGATTGACGCCATATTGTGCTGTTGCACCGAAGCAGATCGTAAACATCCACCGCCGATGCTCATGCGTTTGACGGTCTTCAACAACCTGATTCCCCAAGAGGAACGGAGAGGTGTGCAGGGACAATAGAGGCAGACAGACGGAAAGAGTAGCAACGATATCGGTATAATATTGTTGCGGTAATTGTAGTATGGATTTATTTTCAGTCGTTAGTAGCCCGAATACAACCGAGTGAAAGGCGTATCACCAATGCTAGTTCTCTAGGGAGACTGAAGTCAGTTTTATACTGAGAATGAAAACGCTTTGTCGTTGCCGCCGTCACTGAACGCTGTGTACGTGGTGTACAAACGATTAAAAGTTTCCAGTCAGTACGCGTTCATTTTCTTTATTGGGTTGAGACCGAGCTCTATGTCGCTGGGCGCAGTACAGCTTCGTTGTGATGATGCCGCGATAGCTTGACTACCCCCACGGCTGTAGTCTAGAACCCAGGAAGGTAGTCAAAGACAATACGATAGACAAGTACAGCAGTCGGATTACTAGTACTGGCGATACCGTGGGTCCTGGAACGAGCTCATTGGGGTAGCGAGTTAAACATGGAGAAGAACTACGAAAGGAAGAATTAGCCCCCGGAAAATACTGACGAGCGTTAGATATGAATGATTGAGCCTCTTGACATTACTAGGTAAGTGTATATTCATCTAAGGTGAAACAAATGATATGTGGACGCCTAGTACTTCAGAGTTAAAAAAAAATTTGCAACAGTGCCCAGCGCATGACTGGCGATCATTCCCAATATTTTTGAAAATGGTTACACAGCGAGTTAAAACCAACGATTAGATTTGATAAGTTTGCAACGTGAAATATTTCCTTTTGGCATGTTCCTAGCTCTGGAAAAACTGAGCTAGAAATACATATTTTGCGGGTGATAATGGGTCGTTAGGTGTGAAACGTGACAAATATTAATTTAGTATTTCAAGATGACGTTATTTTATGGATAGCGGTCATTACAGTCTTTTGTATTTGAGACGTGTTTTTACCGTTTGAAATCTGTATAAATGCTGTATTCAGTAAAAGATATACGTCCAGAAACAGCGTAACCCGTTAATCCAGTAAATACTAGAAAGAAAATTTCGAACTAGCACGTGAGTCACGTAAACGGCGTCCTGCGCAGTCAAGGAACGAGTGACTCATCGCAAGATACATAAACGTCGGAACTTGGGTTTGGTGTATGCAAACGTTTTATGTTTACTTATTATTTAAAGCAAATTAGCCAGGAAAAAAAAATTAGTACATAATAAAAGAATTATAACAGTGACCTATCCTTATACCAAATCCTAGAATGGAAGATTGATCCTCTACGATAATCGCAGACGCTCACAGCAGTAGGGGACATTATTCTAAAACAAATGTTCAGTTGCTATAGCTTGTAGGATCTGTTGGACAGTTCACAGCAGCTTCATGAATCTTGGTTGAGTTGATTCCAGGTAGCATACGGTCAACAACTGGACGAGGGAATAATGAAAACTTTGAATCAGGTAGCAAAATTAACGAACAAAAATAAACCACCTCTGCTCATTTTCACACCGCATTCATCACAGCAGCGATAATGCAGACGTTACGCCTGGAAGCTCCCTCTCATCCACCATACTTGTCTAACGTTACGTCTATAAATTAACATTTTTTTAAGAACCTCGTAATAGAAAATTGTCCAAATCTCAGCATGATGTCGAAATTGACTTTCGAGACTTCGTCGACTCGTTTACCCGAATTCCCTCCAACAGCGGAAGTTATTATTTAAATGGCGCAGTGTCATAGATAGTCATAATGCATATATGTAATACATAAAAAAAAAGTACATAAAAAAAAAAAAAAAAGAAAAAGAAAACTGAACGATAGGGGGCAAAGAAGTGAAAATAGATCAGAAAGCACACGAGAAGTTAATGAAAGATCATGAACTAATATAATATTATCGATTATGGAAACAAGATAATGTACTAAATTGTAATGAATAACTGAGGAAATTCTTGGAAAAAAATATGTACTTTTCGGATAACGGTGCTAAGTACAGGATTTTCTGGTTTTCGAAAACCTACGAGAAATACCTATGCATAATAACCTTTTTGTATATATTTTTAAACGATACAGAATATACTCCTTTTAGATCCGTTGCACATTGCTACATACGTATAGCTATAAATATCTAACTGAGAACGCCTCATCAGGGTCTGGTCGTTGCGCGCCTCATTTCCAACGGTATAGCCCATTTGCTCCTTATATAAGTGAGATGTTTGACCGGTATACTCATGAATAGAACTGGGGAATAATTTACCTCCGTTCGTTGTAGGTAAATATCGGCGATTTCTCCTAAATGCGTACAGAACGCCCTGCATAACGAAAATGTCCAGAAGAGTGTCCTGCATTTACCCCGCGAACAGTTCACGTTTTTATTCGAAATACAGCATGTTCTTTGCGCCCTGTTAGTGTAGTTTGCCAAGAAGCTACCAGCGTTGTCATGACACTTTGCTGCGTATTTATTCACACACGAGACGTAAAAAATACTTGAAAAATTTCCCTTCCAGTCCACGATACGAGATCCAAAGAAATTCAAATAGTGAACAAACGTTAAGTTTTAAACGTTGAACAGAATTTTGCTAGCAATAGCAAGTGTGTTGTTGAAAAATCATGTTATTGCACTTAAGCTTATTGCTAAGAATTGGCTTATGATAGAAACTACGAATTAACAGCAGTGAAATTAAGTCATGATCAGATACAATTGTTTTGTTTCCATCGAGACGAAAACGTTCTTATCTCTAGGTTTCAGTCTGCCTGTTATACATAGCTGTACATTTTTCTCTATTTGTGTGTCTTGCCCATTGATGCAGGCCGGGGCAAAAACCGATATTCACACCTTAAGAAACAACAAGCCAATCGAAAGGGTCGGACAAAAGGTGTTTGAAAAAGGTCAGAGAAAATTGTTTAAAAAGCAAAAGAGCTCTAATCACTTCGCCAGCTTTTTCTGTAGGCATCATATTTATTAAAATGAAGCTCGGTTCGCTCAGTGCAGCTCACGGTACCACCGTCTCAGCCCAGGTTCCCATCCCAACGGCATTGCGTGGGTAGGCTAACTTTACGTATGACGTATGCTCGGAATTGTCATGTTCATTCAGTCGCATTAGCATCAGCTCATTATGCCGTTCAGTTTATATCGTTGCAGGCGGCCGGGAGTCGGGAAAACTGAAAGTAGGATGACATGGTCTGAAGAGACAGGAGCACACAGATGCTGCAAGCCGTTACCAGTAGTAGTATCTCTATTAGAACAGCAACGATGATTTGCGTCATGTCGAATATCTATAGCGACCCCGTCCGTTTGTGATATGGGCGGACTGCTGATGTACGCTAGGTTGTGAATCGAAACGCACAATGAAAGCCGTCCTTCCTACCTTTATGTCTTTATCGAGATGGGTCCATCGAATGAATAGATGGTGCCGATGTAAAATGCGTCATTTCAGCTCGGCGTGTATATTTGGGCATCGTATATCGTTCGTTCGTAAAGTGTTTTGGAGAACGTAAATCTCGTGTATATAAATTCGTTTTCACGGTAAATATCATTTTGAAGGCGTTTTAAGCAAATGCAACAAACTCGACTGCTTGTTAGACCTCGGAGCGTTTTTCCGCGGCGATTGACTTAACGTATTCCATAAAGGTAAATCGCTCCTTCATCAAGAAGCTAAGCAAAAAGTATTTTTCGTTCACCATAAACGTATGCGTCCTTCGTAGACAGTGCAGATCTTTTTAGAACTGCTTAATCACCGTCGTACACATAATAAAATACCCAACGTGATACGATAGAGTAATTGTTAATCGATACGGTACCTGCAATAGAGACCAGAATCACTCTTCACCGCTTAGTAGTTGAAATGCGATCTTGAAGCTAGCTTTATTAAACGCTATCAAAGTCCTCGTGAAAGTTGTCAGCCGCTAAAACATTACCCATAGGAGCAGGCAAACAATATCACAAACTTCACAATACTCCTCTGATATTGGCCTCTGATTTCACTTCTGTGGAAAAGTCCATGCTGTGCTATCGTGCTTCATTCGGGTTCCTATGACCAGAGTATGAATACTGCCAGATTCATTTGTGCCGCATTGTGCGTACGTGCCGGAATTGATATACACTTTCTCTAAGTTCCAACTTTAGATAAATCTAGTTACTTAAATATGGCTAGGTGCTACGAAGGTATTTTGAGAAAACTTTAGTAGATGTTTCAATTAAATTTTAGATTCATTATTCAGCAAAATGTCTATACACACGCGCGCGCGCGCGCGCGCACACAGCGATCTGCGAACCCTTTTACGCGCCTGTAAAAAAGATGTCATTAATGTCAATTTTGTTGTTGTTAGTCTGATTGCTTCGGATCTGTGTTTGAAGTCTGTACAGAGGCACACTGTTATAGCAAAGCCTTAAACGAATGTCACGCACAACAATTGTATTAGCGGATTGGAAAGATGGGAGTCAGTAGGGTAGAGTTGTTTTTTTTTTCTCGCCGAATATTGGCCTCGGTCAAACACGATCAACACGTTAGAATTTCTATGATTGTAAGCTGTAGCTGAAATCTGACAGGCGGATTCAAGTGGCGTTTCGTGCTTTTTTTTAATGACAGTTGAAAATTAGATCTTCAATAGATATACTGTTGCTTTTCTGTTTCCTGCGTGTTGCAGTCATACATCGCTACTATATTAATAATAAGGATAATAATAGTTCTTGACGATCCTCACTAAAATAAATACTCGTCGTCATTATTGCAGACTTCGGACATTTCGCTGCTCCTGTATCGTTGGTATGCTATCTTGTGATCACTATACACTAAATAATCAGCGGCATGAACAGTCCGATCCCGTTCCATATTTGGTCAGCTGACGTCATTTAAAGTACGTATCTATACGTAAATATATTCAACGCGTAAATATTAAAGTACGTATACATTTGGCTGTTAGCTAACTAAGAGCAGTTGAGTCTGTCTATGTCGCTTCTGCTTTTTTACTGATCACAGATGTTCATCTCTGTCATCAGGTACGCTCGGATCTCTAGAAGCTCGATTCGAATTTTGCAATGTACGTAGAATCGAAAAACGCTAGCTAGTAAATACAGGAGACAAGAGAAGTGACGTTTATTTAAAAAATCCGCCATTAGCCACCCCATGATTTGCTCGCGGTATGTAAACAGTGACGGTCTGCATTTGCAATGAGTGCTCATCGTCAAGCAGTTGCTGTGCGACGCAACCGGAGTACATATATAATACGTACAAATGTAATAAGATGGTATTAGAATATATCACCCCAAGAGGATAAAACTGCATTAGACCCACTCCTGCGTATCGACTGCTTGTGTGCGGATGGCGATTAGGTATATCACAATGGTGGAAAGATAGAGCAAGCTACATGCGCAAGCGTAGACATACCGGTGCTCGTAAATGACATTTCATCGTGTCCACAATGTACTTGGACTGTATTTTCTGGATTTTTTTTTTGCAAAATTATTGCACTTTAATTGTGGGGATCGTCCACGAAGCTGGGCGATGATCCTTTTTTAAGCTTAGATGTGTAAGGCCGGTCACAAGTTCCGAACTAACTGACATTGTTGATCTTCTTCATGTTTTTCTGACAGCTTTTGCTCGTTGCTGTTGTAACGTGAAGATGGTTTGATGTGTTTGCGCAAACTAGTGCAATATTCATCAGCAAAAGGATTACCACCCACTCCTATAGGTTATTCTCAGTTTGTATCCTTTCTTGCTGCAACCTATCCACTCGTCCGCTTCGCACAGGATCTATGAACTGTCCATACAAATTCAACCAAGGAACTTGCCTAGATGCTTACTTATTTAAAATCATAATTTTAATATTAATGCGCATTCTCATTAGCGGAGCTAACTCGATTATGAACTTTTAGAAGATGGACTTGTTTTCTCGCAATAACAAACAGAGCATTGCTGCTGGCTGTTTCGCGCTCTGCTATCACGGTTTCGTACGATAACTAGAGTGTAATAGGCCCGCTGGTAAACAAACACCTCATCGTCAGGTAAACATACATCATATCGTCAGAAGAACGACGTTGTGATTGAACAAGAAGTCGTTTGTTACAGTACAGTGTCTAGCATTGGCTTCATACATTTACGTATTACTTGCGTTCACTCGACATCGTGCCGTTATAATACTGAAAGTGTGTGCGTATATTTATAATGTCCTTCTCATAACATAAATTTAATACGATTTAAGTACACCACAAAAAGTAAGCTCTACTTTTTGTTCAATGTTTAAGCGATTCATTCGAAACTTCAAGTAGTTGTACGTAGTTCAGATGAATTTCGTAAAGGAAACCGAGAAAGTCGAATCCGACGGCGGAAACAGGTAGCCGGATATGAAGGTAACGGTTATTACCAATGACAAAATAAGTTATGAAAAAAATAAATTTTAGTAAAAATACAACAGTATACAGTTGCAGCTGGAGGTGATTCCGTCAACATGATTTTGGCTCTTCATTTCATTTCGCAGTGACAACTCATGGTCGATGTTGCGAACTGCTGAATGATGATGTGTTTATGATGAATCTTTCTGCTCGAAAAGTTTGGCGCCGTTGATTCCACGAACGTTGACGACGCACGGCCGTACTAGGAGTCCATGTCCAGGCTTACATCGAAAATACCTAGTACCTCCAATGCTTCCATCGTGCTTGCCGATTGGCAACCTGAATTCCACCCCAAGGAATGTTCCTTCCTCGAACTGGAGTGGACCTGCGAAAAGGGTTAATCGGCACATTAGCTACATAGAGTGTAACATAAGCATTCTGTAGAATACGTTATTTACTATATAATCCTAGGGCTGGGTTAAGTGTCGTATTTCCTGTAGACTTTCAACGAAAAGTCGATACGACCTTTGGTGTTTTTCTATCTCGTTTTGAAGCGCCCCAAGTCGCTCTAGCCCTTTGCTAGTATTTCTGGCTAAATAGTTGCTATTCCGAACTAGTTAGAGCCTTATGATGAGCCTAACCTATTGTACTTTTTGCCACTTCCCTCCCAAATATGAGCCTTTCGTTATGAAGCCCTCTAGCCAAGCCAAACCTATCCATCAGATCCATCTTCAGAGACTGTCTAAACGTGTACATAGAAACTCGATTTGCCATAAAACAAGAATAGATGCTGGTACTACTAAGTATACATAATATTAAAAAAAAAACTCAGATGTTCAAGAATTTCCCTTAACTTGAAAACCTCTTTTGTGTATCCTATATCGATCGCTGGCCTTGGCCAACTAATACAATGCAATTTCGGGGGGGGGGGGGGGGTAAGAAGTAGGACTTATTAGAAAAAAAAAGCTGCCGTTTGTAGTATGTTTTTGTTACAAATATCAAGCAGCCTCGGTCGATGCACTCTATAATGGAAACGAGTCGAAGCTAGAAGAAAGTCGTCCACGTCTTGCGTGACGGAATCCGTATATTGATATCCACATAGCGTCTTGTAGGCGAACGACTGTGGATACATCATTTGGTTTTATCTTGTTAGTCTTTTGAGTTCGACTGGTAGAAGCATGTCCTGTTTCGTAGGTGGTTCTTTTTTTAAAAACTTTTTTTTTTTTACGAAAACTTTAATCATACAGCCGAGTAATCTGCAGCGAGATGATTAATGTATTGTAAAGAATTGAACTCCTTTAAAACTTTTTTTCTTCGAAATTCTGTTCATGGAATTAACTTGTTTACCGATCGCTTGTTAGCAATCGTTGGCGACGGCTAAGAACGGTGATCCTTGAGTACACAGCACACTTCGAAGAACCTCCTTTTCGGCGAAACAACATTTAACGTATAAACTCTACGGAACACTTGCAAGAGAACCATTTCTACGCGGACCCCTTGCGACAATCAAAGATAGTAACAATAGTTGTCACAAAAAGAACAATATATATTGTTTAAATTCCGAGGATAAAGTATATGTACCTAGCTTGAATGGAAGAAACCAGTGCTAGCTGTTCCCTGCCCGATTATACGATACAGATTTAACATTTACTTACTGAGTATAATCGAAGAATTTTTGCAGTTTCGGTTTGCTTTTTTTTTTTTTTCAGAATAGTTGTTGAGGTGCAATTTCATATATCATAACAGGCTCACTTCTACAGACATGGCCTAATGCACATAGTAGTCCTTTGCCGCCCTTTTGTTTTGTAATCCTGCGGTGGAGTCTTCTGCCTGGATTTAACCAGATGCCCGAAATTTTTTCTGGCGTACCACCGACGTTGCTGTCTAGTATGATGAAATGAAAGACAGTCAACTATACGCATTATATATATCGCCCGCCTAGGCAAAGTCAAACCCTGCTAAAACCCGTCTCTCCACATTCTCCATTGTGAGACAAATGTACAGCAAGGGCATTTTTATTTTACAAAAATGCCAACAACCAGCACTTAATAGAAAAGCTCATAGCATAAATCTTAGTCATTCCAAGTAGACGTGTTCTCTACTTAATGCAAGTTGGTCTGTGCTATTTTGAAGGTGTTCAGATATATAAAAATTAGTATAATGTGCTTTATTTAATAGAAAAATTCTCTCTTGTGAGAAGGGTAGCGAGCCGGTATTTGATTGAATATTGTTCTAGGTAGCCGTATCTACCGAAAAGGACGGTACGAATCAGCCACGCACTTCTATATGATACTTGCACAGTAATAAAAAAAAAAAAACTTTGTATAGAGTCGTAAGCAGAAAACAGAGAAAATAGTGCCGAGATAATAGATTGATGGTAACATCACATTGGAGATCTGTGCAATAGACTATTTGTTCTAAAAGAGTATCTCTAAATAGTGCGTATATAAAATACAGGACAGATAACATAAGCGTTCAAGATAGTACGACAGCTATGAGGATAGCGCGAAAAACACATAAATTATACATTAATCCAAATGGTAAAGGAGTGAAACGCAACCCCATGCCAGTTTAGCGAAAGCTAATTACGATATTGCTTAGTTATAACAAACTTCCGACTAAATATAGGTTGAACTTTTCTGGCTTCAGGGTCAACGTTATACTTGACAAGTTGTTATAACAAGCGCCAACTTTCTTGCATGTGTGTAACGAGTATGGCTGAATACTGCTAGCGTTTTACCTAAATGCTCCTATTGTTCCTACGCGCGCAGGCCAACAGCAGCAGTCCGCAATATGAGCAATTGTCAGGTTTGCGATTTATTTTGATACATGAATGTCGTTCTGGCAATTTCAATAGTAAAACACGACGAAAGGACGCAAATTTCGATACAACTTTTTGAACACAAACTGTCTAAGCGATTTCCACTACACACGTAACTTCAATGAACGGTACCCTCTGGATCTATAAACAGATCTATTCAATGAGCCCGTCTAGCCAGATTATTGCAGCTCGGAGAATTGTTTGAATAATTGAAGAAAAAAAAAAAACACAGAAAACTATGTTTGATTCACTTGTATGCTGGAACCAGACTAATAGAACTGTTTAATTTTCTGCCGAATCATTAATTCAATTATATACACGTGAGCAGCACTAAGCTTCATTAGCGTTTTGTGATTTTAAATTTATTACAAATTTACCTTCACCATTAAAGGAACCTTCATTATTTTTCGACACATCTTTGAATCACTATCACCAGAGAACTCCTGATGCGAAACTATTATTTTTAGTTTCCCTAATTGTACAACTCGCCATTCACGATAAAAATTCGATTCATAATTTACATTGTGCTCGTGTCGACTATTTATTTTCCATATTTATATAACCCGCGTTTTTTAGGGTTACTAGCCCCAAAAAAAAATTCTTCAAATTGTGAACGAACGAACTAGTCGGCTTTTTTTTTTCCTTTATTAATACCTTCACGACTAAATAGGCGACTGCATTTTTCGCCGCAGATACCTTGCTGCTTTCTTTCATTTGTGTTCCAGACTCCCTCGAACGACGAGAGAAGATCGAGTTGCGGCTTTACGCGCTGAAGATGTTTGCGAAGCAGGTAACAGTCGTGGGATGTGCTTCTTCATCCCGTTGCTACTGTTCTCTTCCCCAATAAGCTGTCTGCTACGATTGACTTTTACTCGGAAACGGACCTTAGAACAGGAGCGTAAAGCCTAGGAGAGACGCAGCCCTGAAGAGTGACAAAAATTACGTGCGATCATACGGAACGAGCCATTGCAGGGCGTGGAAGAGCGTTTCTAGCAAATAATATTTTATTACCACAGAGTCGCAAGACCAACCGTGATTTCTTCTTCTTCTTCTTCTATAACAGCGAAATTCCCATTTTGAATGTGAACCCAAGCGATTCTAAATAACATTCAACTGAGACGACTCGAAAAGGATTCGCGAAACAAACCATCATCATCATTACACATATGTACGACCTCTTGCCAGGCAAGCTTTCGCTTAGAAAAGCAGACGACCAATATTAAATTAAGCTGAACTTGTTTATGGATTAATCCAGAGAAAATAAGCCATTCTTGAACACCGCCGTAAACGTACGCAGTCGATACAGCGACAGGATCAATGAATAATAGTTTCTTCTCTCATTCGATACTAGGAGAGGGCAAAGGTCGATAATTTTTATAGTATTTCAAATATTATCTATATGTTTCCAGTGGCGAAAGGATCGGAACCTGACTTCCTTCTTCGCTCACTCAAATTATTCTGCAGCAGATTAAAACGAAATAATGAAGCGTTCTTATGCTATAGCATGCAGCTTATAATTTATATTATCAATGAACATACGGAATACGCTGGAGGTTCTCCAATTCCCAATTCTAAGCGAGATTTTCCTAACAAACATGTCCGAAACCCTCTTCAGCCGTTTTAGCCGGTTGTACGACTGTGTACATTTCTTCCTCATCCTGCTAATTCCTCAAAAAAAAAAATTAGAGATTCGAATAAAGTATAGATGGAGGCGCAGGTAATAGTTGAACTCACCAATATAGCGCAGAATGCCGAGTTCCTTCTGTACGAAAACATTCATCCCTTCACGTAGCCAATTGCAGCTCTTTTTCAACGTCGTCGAGATAATCTGTTTTTCGCCTTTGTCTGCCCATCTATCTGCATTCGCTGTACCTGCTAGTAAAGCTGCTGCTGCTGCTGCTGCTGCGGCGGTGGCGGCTGTAGATACTCCCTTATCTCCTTTATCGGCTTTATCATGCTTTTCTATTTTCTCCGCCACCTTGCTTCCGCCCCCGTCTCGAACGCTGACCGCGGTCTGGGCTGACTGGGACACGCTAGACTTTCTCGAACTTGACGTTGTTGAGCCCTCGGTGGGGCTACGTGAGATGCTTGCGTCTTTAATCGACTCATCGGATCCAGCTTCCTCTTCAGGTAAGATTCTGTAAGGTATGACAAAACGCACAAGCAAAGCTCGATAGTAGATGGACATTTCTGTTATGCTAATTTAAAAATACATATAGAAAACAGACAACAACTAGTCAATTGTTCTCCGTTTCTTTTCTATTTTGTATTCGATTATCTTTATCAGTACGCACTTTTTATTACCGTTGGTCTATGTTACCAGTATCTGCATGGACAGATTGATCGAAGTTGCTTGACTTGTTTACAACGTCAACATGTTTACAATGCTTTTTTTTTTTTTCCCCGTTAGCGCTGTCGTCGGCCTTCATGCTTCACAATACATCCAAAGGGTTTTTTTACACCCAGCCACGGATAAACAGTGAAGCGCCATCACGAGAGGGATGAATAGCAAAGAATCGCCAAGAACTTTTGCTAGACAGTCGTGCTCCCTAGAGGCGATCGCTTACTTGAATGCTAATACATGACACAATAGGGCAATACTTGCCTGGATATTGGTGTCCATGGTGATTTTTTTACGTCTGTATAAATAGCGCACGCACGCAGCTTACTTCGAAGGCATCGACGTGCAAAAGGCTCGGACACATACTTCAGCGCATTATCAACCCCTCCGCGAAGTTGTAAATTTTACGGCAAAGGGCTTAGCCTTCTTGATGACCAATTCGACCCCATTAGTGCATCGCTTACGCGGCCCAAATGCTTGTTGTTCTGTGAAAACACTCTCAATAGAGCAAAGTCATCCGCGTATAGGATAGGCGTTTTTGACCTTTTATATCTCTGAGGGCACAGTGCGTTCATACGAGTCGAAAAGAACGACGGGCTTATGTCATCTCTTTGAATAAAGCCGGCACGTGGCATTGAGCAAAGCATGGGATCCTTTGTTCTAAGGAGCTTTTATGGTCTAGAAACACCGCAGAGATCTACGTTCTGCCAGGCTTTTTAAATGTCTCTTTGCAGGTTTCACTTATTAAATATAGTTTTACTTGCGTTTCTAAAACTTAATGTTAGCGTGTTAGCAATGACCTCTTTATAGGTGGCAGTATTTTAGGGGGGTGCGAAAAACTTTCATCATTCGAATGTTCTTATATGTGTGTTGCCGTTCAGCTATAGGCTCTCCCATGTATATACACATGTATGGATACGGTGATCGCTACGTTTGCCCATTTACCGTTCCAGAATCTTCAATGCCCTACGGCGCTGACAGCGAGTTTGATCACCAGTAAAGCTACGCCTCTTTTGTAAACATTAAGCGAAACAGAGAACTGTTCGAGACAGCCATGGAACATAAGTCACATAGTCAATTAAAGAATTTATTGTTTTTATCAGTGCACATGTCCGCATACAGGAGAGAAGATTTCAGTCGGGAGCCTTCGCCGGAAAACGATAGAGCAATCGTAAAGCACACATTGATAATTATTATTGAGACCAGCGCTAACGTAATAAACGTTTTTGTGAGCATTACTAATAAAGTTGAATAATTCGGCTATCATTATATGGATTCAGCTTATCAATATTCATTTTATCTTTGCTATTTGAACGTTGCCTATATCCAAAAAAAAAAAAACACAGAGATCACATGTTTTAACTCGGTTTTTTTCTGTTGCGGCCACATGCGTTACTAAGTAAAAAAAGGACCTTAGTGGATTTTCTTAGATACGCCGCTTCAGCGGCGTCTAATTGATCGAGAAAGCATTAAATGATCTTCGAGCTCCTCGAACCTCTATCTACAGATAGAAAAAAAAACTCGACCAGCAGGGGCAGCACATAAGGGAACTACAACCGTGAATAACGTTAAGTTTAAAACTTCTTCCCAGAAAGGTATCTAGAACTTTATACCCGTTCTGCTATAGTAGCTTACCGCAAAATTTAGGCATCCAATCGGCAAAATCCACGCACAGTTATCCTGGACTGTATTCTAGATATGTGCTCTCAAGCTCATTAGGCAAGAAGAACTTATACGAAGTTAACTTTAATGCCATGTTGCATCTATTCGGAATAGAAACAGTGATACAGCGTGGAATTTAAACCCGCTGTAGCTATTTCGGATGACAGAACAATGATATGACCGCACGTTGTGCCGCACACTTGTTATTATAGCATATAGCTAATTCTCTAATTATACATGTAATTATAAATTGCTCGGAAACATATATTTACCTTTGCTTTATGTAGCTAATATCAAGTCGATTATTTATTAGTTCAAACTTACGCAACCGAAAGTCTTTTTGAGTATACCGTTGGAGCCAGTTGCTGTAAGATAATTATAAATATGACTTCTGTTTTTATGATCGTGTTTATAGGGGGTGAGTGGGGGATATACTCCATAATTCAATATGAAAAGGAAAGATATTCCTCAAGTAAATGGAACAATAGAATCCACTATTTTTGGAGCCTTCGTATTTTTTTGCCAAGGCTTTACATTATTAAACAAGTATAAATGTGATATATCTTGTTTAGTAAGACGAGTAGTAATTTATGTCATGTATTAGATGCATCGAAGGGAAAATGATTTACGGCACTAGACCAACAATCACCTGAAATAGAAGAAAGCTTTTACACCTATCCAAGGTGCTCAGCATGCTTACCCTGTGCTCGTCTTTAACGCTGACGAATTAATGGTATCGTCAGGTCACAAAAGATCTTAAATACCTGTCGCAACGGACACACTCATATGGGTGTCCCAAATTAGTTATACTCTGTCTGAAATTCAGGCTTCTGCAAGTCAGCTTATCGTATGATCATTGTCGATCGTAAGTTGGTTCTTTACAGCTAAGGGCAGGCTTTAAGCTAGCTACTAAAAGGATCGTGTTGAGGAATTTTTCATACAAGGGCATTAGGACATACGTTGTTGTTCAGCACGCTGAGCTCAGAAATCATCTGAGGTCTCGTATTTCTTCAACGGCGATCAGCGCAAATTTCGCTCAAATGTATGTGGCAGTATTTTCAGATTCGGTCACTTACTGCTTCATAGATGCTGTACATGCAAAGCACGATAACATTTTGCCATTATCAGTGAGTGATAAAATACAATAATATCTAGATCTGCTAAAGATACTTAGAAGATTTTCACCGACACGTTACAACAATTACCTTTTCTTAGGCAAAAGACTAATAATTTAATATATCCGCTGATAACGCGAGCATACTCTTGGTTATTAACGGTCATTTGGTGAAACATGATTAGTTATGATAAATGTATAGTTTGAACGTACTTCATCAACGTTTGACGAATCCTTCGAAGTATCTCGAAAGTATTGCTTTGGGCAGGCGGACGACGGATCCCTTTACGACGAACGCTGTGCAATTACTAGACTAAATAAAACCGACCGGCAGATTTAACTTTTAAAGGGTTAGTACAATATCTTAGAGCCATTGCGCAAGTTAAATATCAGGGCACGCTTCGGATTAATTCAGGCTTCAGTTTCAGAGTATTTTGTCAACTACGACCTTCAAATAATAGTCTCGAAACAAATTCAGTAGGTTAACTTTACGCCAACGATATTACGTTCATATCACGTCACGGGATATGAACACCCCCGCGTGTTTGCCCCACCCGTTTCGCATGCACTTCAACAGACTACCCAATCGCGCTAGGACACGCTTACGAATCAGAGAATCGCAGCTTTCTGTACGAACGAATTTTCGTTAAGTATGTGCGTACAACACTGAAGAGTTTCAGAAACTCGTCGTTCCTAAAATAGTATCTTTATCACCTTAGTTTAAAGGGGGAGTTCACGCACATGTGGATGCTTTCGGCTTCAAATAGTCCGACCATTTTTATCTGGCCGTAATGGTCTTTCAAACGCTTCCGCTATCTTTGAAACATAAGCGCTAACAATGGGTGCGTTCAAAACAAGCGCTCTCTATTTGAGGCATGTACAAATTGTTGACTCATATCATCGACCCGTTCAGCCACGTTGCTCCTTATTGCCACGGCAAACGACGGACGGACACAACTATCTCAGAAGTCTGTTTCGTAGTGTTACGTAAACGCTACGTAAAGGCAAAATGTCTACCCATTCTAGCCACTACAGGATGAATTTTCTGTGGTAAATAATAAAAATCACGGGTCCAAAAGCAAAGCTAAACAGCGAATTAGGCCTCGCCCTGTTCTATGGTATAAAACTATTTTTGCAAAAGATTTTTTCAAACAGGTGTTTGCCCTTCATGAGACCAAGGCGATTTAGGTTTTCTGTCTTTATCTTGAGCAATTCTTTTGTACATTGAGTTACATTTGTTGACGTCTGCCGCATCACCATGATCTGTCTCCGGGAATGTTCGGGTGGATTAGACGTATTTTTCATGTGTAATAATAGAGGTATAGCCGTCTGTGTGGAGGTGCGGACGACCTATTCCAACTGACCTAGCGCGTATCGAGTGGAATCAAAGGTAGATCGGAAAAAAACAAGCTAACAGATAGCTCCTCTTCGTGAGTCTCCACAGAAGTGTATTTGGCGCTATTGCTTTTTGCATTCTACACTCGTATCACGTAGCCACGTCTGACTTACTTAAAGACAGTGATCGCGACAACATGCAGAGGTCATATTTATTGACCTTTATACTTTGTAAATATAATAATCATCTTTTTACAAATTTATCGGGGGTAAATGGCAAAAAACTTTATCAAATATCGTAGCTCTGGAAGCAGTATTCATCATTATGCCAACCAATCAAATAAAATAAATAATACTGTTAATGCATCCTATAAAGTGTTTGTGCTTTTCTGGGGCGCACTGCACCCAGGACCGAAACGTAGCGTGAGTCACCCAGTACTGATCTGTACTTTCTCAACTAGATTTCCTTTTCATTCAGCTGATTGGCCCATGAAACGTAAATGGACTTCGTTCTCTTAATACCTTAATTATTGATTCCTAATTAAATATGATTCGACAACAATAAAGGTTTCTGCGTGACAATTAAAATGATCTAGGCACTTTATTGCTTGCCATTGTTTAATATGATTGAATGTATAGTGCCCTGTCAAGCTAGCGTGTTTTTGTTCGCTGCGCAGTAAATGACAATTTTATCCCACGTACGCGGTGTGTTTAGTCTGCGCGCAGTGTTTTTTTCCTCTCATTATTACTAGTCTCTACATGTACCGTAGTAACGGCTCTTCTACGTTTGCCCAAGTGAGTAAGTAAGAATCTATATGTTCTGCACTTAAGTAAAGCAAACCCGAGTTCCATTTTAGAGCATTAGCTCCCAAAAAGAATTCGCTGATGCCTAAAACAGTATAATGAACAAATTTAGAAGAGTAACATTCGATAATAATCGATTGTTTACGGTCACAAACTGATACGACGTTAATCATCAGTAGCTACGTTGATGATTGAAGAAAAGCATCTTCAAAAATTGTACGTGTTTGCGACGAACGTAACTCTTCAAAAGGAAACAAGTATAATTAACAAATTCTAGTTATGGGCAAAATAGAACAATAATAGTTATAGCAGTCTGGCTTCACATGTAAAACATGCACAGAAAATATGTGCGAGACAAATTGTATTCATATTATACAGTGTGCAGTAACCTGATCAGTGACTTGATGATAAATGACTACTCTTCACTCATTTACCTCCTCACGCGTCCAACAAGAGCGAAGACCCCGTGGGCTGGTGGACATTTGAAATACTCGATTCCTCCAACGGACCCATCGTTCTTCCCCTGTGGAGTATCCAGTTCAACGCCAGCCCAATAACCAGAAGCAAATTTAGTCTCGCCGATGAACCGGAGAATTCCTTTACGCTTATTACCAACCAACACGCGATCCCCTACAGCGAGTTGGAGCGGCTCGACAGAAGGATCACTGCCTACCCGACTGCCACGAAGGCCTGTAAATTGATCAAAGGAAGGCACAGGTATCATCTGCTCGGGGGTGTCGTCAATCATAGAAATGAATTCACAGTTCTCACAGGTCTAACCTTTGCACATCAGTAGTAGCAGTTCTACTTTACAGGTATTGATAGACTTATTGTTATTATTAGTCTTATTTGTACAATCATTATTTACATAGTCTCTAATAACCTTTTCTTCTCCATTGATCTCTATCACTTCATTGAGCAGTTGGGTTTGGGCAGTGTGAATATTTAAACATTCTCAAACTGTCCTATATACCTGAAATATTACCCACCGCCCCACGAACAGCAACCTTTGAGCGGGCTATCGGTACTGCAATGTTTCAGCAAGATAAAAATATTATAATAAAGAGCTATTATGTGAATTATTTTATTAGATGCGCAAATAGATATACAGCAAATAATATTGTTTATACCAACGGGTAATGCTGCTTATCTAATTCTAATCTAGATTTTTGATAAAAACGTTTACTCTACACAAATGCGATTCACGCACCCAATTCCAACTAAGATACGAAGCGACAGTGATCAATTTAATGAGGTTAAATAAGATGACGGTAAACTAGGAAACATCAAAATAAATTCAATGGCGTACTAACGTCGACCGTTATTTAGATGCGTTCGGTGCCAATAAACCTGGTCAGATTACGGATACTTCAGGAGTCGAAATACCTTTCGCAATTGGCAAGCTATTCTTTCGAATTTCACATTATCGATTCGTATTTGTACGCACCTTCTTCTCTGGACAGTGTCGTTACATGAGAATGAAATGAAAGAGGGGGCAACAGTTAGATCCGATCTCAGGATTCAACTTACCGGTTTGCACTTTGGAGGTTACGTGACTGACATCGAGTTTGGGAAACGAGAAAATACGATCCTTTCGTGGAGGCGGATCCGTGAAGCTAGACTGACTGGGCCTGGACACCTTTGTGATTGGAACAAAAACTCCATGGTTTGCAGGGCAGTTAAAATACGAAACTCCAGCTAGGGAGCCGTCATTTTTCCCAGAAGGTTCCTCGAGTTCAACTCCCGCCCACACGCCCGTTGCGAAATGAATCGTCCCGCAATAGCGAAGAGTTCCTATCTGAAGCAATTCATATAGAAAACAAATAAATATGACAAAGTAAGCAAATTGCTACAATAAACAAAACAGGTATGTACGGCAATTTAATGCCCTACGTAGGGCTAAGGGAAGCCCTGTCTTAAGCTTGGAAATAAAATTATGATGCTGAAGAGATTACGGTAACAGTGGGTAACATATGATGTGTAGTCAAGCATTGAAGATTGCCCTTGCGAATACTCTTCCTTGATATGAAAACTCTTCCTTAATAATTTAAGAAACATCTAGTTTACTGTATCTGGCGCGTCACGTTGTCGCAATATTGGATACAATCGGGCTATGTAGTGTTAACATCATGCTTCTCGCCACGTACCTTGTTAGGGCTGACCATAATCTGATCGCCAATTTTTAGTCCCAAGGATTGTAGTAGAACTCTTCCGGACACTGATGTCTGCGGCGAAGCTAAAATTTCATCTCTCGAATCTGAACGAAGTAAGTCTTTCAGTGTCACAATCGCATCTTCGGGCACGAGGTCTGGATCGAGAGTGGGCGGTATCACCTCATTTGGCGTACGCCCTAAATTATCTATTATCGTCAGTCGAAAAATCGATATATACGTGTTGAGTTTTTTTTTTACATAAAAAAAAATACCTAAGGACCGTGATAGTAGGGACTGGCTCGAGTTTGAAAACACCTTGTTATTATCGACCATAGCACCGTCATCCTCATGCTTACCTTTAGTTAAACAATGTGAATAGACAGATTCTGAGTTAAGTGAGTTCCTTATACGATCTTTAAAGCAAGCAGAAGTAGCACTTCTTCTTCTGTTTTTTTTCGGTTTTTGCAGGTTGTGTATTTTATGAACTGTGTATGAGATTTATACGTGTGACTTTTCGAACATTTACCACGCATTCAAAAGCAGAATACTTAGAACGTCGGTATACAGTATACAAAAATAATTAAGCGGCTTACCCGTGACGTTAATATTAGCTCCATATTGGACGAGGAGTTTCGCTGATTCAACGTTGAGGTTCGCAGCGGCAATATGTAACGAGGTGCCACCCTCGAAGTCATTTGACGTTGCCTCCAGGTCGGAACGCTTTCCGGCTTTTAGCAAAATCTGAAAAGTTTAGATCTCCTGATGAATGTAATTCAATCATGGCTGTGTGTACGATGTATGCAACAAGTATAAACTCTAAATGTTCTTTGTCCTAGTCTCATGTCTTATTCTGTGCTAATCCTATACATTAATTCTAAGATTCTATTCAAGGTCATAGAACCAAATTATATATTTCGTGCCGCGGTTATTTAATCCCGTTATTCGGCTCATTGTATGCTAATTGGAATCCACGTTTTTGTTTTTTTCTGTAAGTCGTTATTTTTATTAATAATAGTAACGATAAAGGCTGGTTTTATTTGTACATTGTTGAAAGACTTGATGCCTTGCACTGTTAGACCAAATCGAAGGTTTGCAGATACAAAAATAAAATAGTCCTCTTTTTGTTACTATGTTTTTTTAATGTTACTATGCTTGTTATTCGTTGCTTGAACGAAATCGATTTATTTAGTATTACTCATCGCAGATATTAGAAGAAGAGAGAAAACAGTATTCAAGCCTTAGAAACCCTCAAAGAGCCGGGTTCGAATCGGCTTTTTATACGACCAAGTTTCGCCGTTGCTTGCGCTTTCGAACGATTACAGACGCACCTGTACATACATATACATTTTATGATAAATAATATTATAGCTTAGTATGTAGAACAGTGGCGTCGAAATGCGGCGCATGCGTAGACAGAGGCAAGTGATAATGTCTTTTACCCTAGCTCCATAGCTCAAAAGTACGGTCCTATTAATTAATGCGTTGTGTTACCGTGCATGTCAAACAAACAGAGAACAGAGCCAACACGCGAACTCGGCTAGATGGTCAACTCTTGTAAAGGAACCAGCTAAGCTAGGAAAAACCTCACCTGTGTCCTTAAGAATACAACGACGTTTTTATCGGTGTAATCAGTACAACATCATCACTCCGGGTATGCTTAATTTTCTGGGTGGACACATCTTATACGGTGGGAAGAGAAAAGGGTCCGACATAACCTGTCCCTTGTGCCTTCTCTTGTGATTTAGTGCGAGCTTCGCTGCAAATAGCTCACCGTAGACCGTAAACGATATTTTGCACGTTGTTGGTCAAAGAATTTATCTGAATTTAATGAAGTTACAGTCAGACAATAAGGCGAGCGACGCCGGTCGTCATCATTCATTCCTATCGGGAAGCTATTAATGCTTTTCCCGTATTATACCATCATTAGTGGAAAAAAAATAGGGAACTTCATGTTAAACGAACCTCGTTCTCCTATGACGGGAAAAGAGAGCTAAAATTTGGCTTTCGTAGAGTTTTGCCATAGACCCTGCTAAAAAAGCGCTCAGGGCTTTTGGCAACAATGTCATCAGGTAGGTTTTCAGCACATATAAAGCTCATGAAGAACTATAGAGCAATGAGTCTCCGACGAAACGGAAAAGGATCTTGTTGGAAGGACAACAAAATCCAGAATATATAAGTACGGGACGCGTAATATGTAACAGTCATACTAAACACTTCTTTAGCTGCGGAGATGAATACCTTCTGTTTTTTGTTATGTCACCGCTATAAGGTAAGTATGCGTTGTCTTTTTTTCGTAACGTCGTTTACTCCGTCAGAGCTGACACGCTGCAGGAATGCTACTCTTGAGTAACTAGTCTTTCAAGTCACTATAACCGAAAAAGCAAATAACCCTTATATATAAGTATATATATAGAAAAGGAAAGATTATCAATTGAAAAGAAGCATGGCCAAGTATGACTTTACATTGAAAACATTTCCATTTTAGAAGTGTTCATACACAAACATGCAGATCAATGACTTCACGGATCTAATTTTTGAATCTACGTTTAGTTACCTCGACAACGTTGGGGACATCGAAGAATACAGCGTAATGTAAGGCCGTCATGTCTGTCCAACGACAACGCAATCTGAGATCGGCACCCCTGTCCAAGAGGGCTGTAACAGTTTGGCCTGCCACAAGAGGCCCTGCGAGAGCTCCTCCCTTAGCGGCATAGTGAAGTAGGCTCATATCTGTCAGGCCATCACGATCATTTACGTTCGAGCCTCGCCGGAGAATCTGGTTGAGATCCGTAGACCGCAATGAACCATAAACATACTTTTTAGCTAATAGTAACAGTAGTGTCAATAAATTAGATAAATACAATAAATGTTAGATTTTTTATTGTAGACACGGAGGCTTTCAAGCATGAAATAGGCCCTAATAGTAAGTGCGTTGTAAGGCCTCTTCAGTGGTTCTGAAAATTGTGGTAATTGATTTTAAATACTTTCTTTATGCCTGAAGGCTGAGAGTAATCAGAAAACGATAGTCTAGAAGCTACTCTTCCTCGAGCAGAAAATAAGAATTTAGGGCTGAGCTGGTTCAGCAAGTATTTTCGATGTTATTCCTCGTAAAGCTCGCGGGCATAATGAGCGCATCGGTCGATGTGTTCACAGAATGTGAACTGGTTCCTAACGTGTTTGTTCGTGAGACAGCTGTGGACACATAAGAACCCATAGAACGAATCCAAAATGGCTGCCTATTTCTTGTAGCTGATGTTAATAATAGGCAAAGCTTCATACTTTTCTTCCTGTTTCGAAATATTTCGATGAGAATATTTAGCTTATTTCTGTTATTTCGAATGTTATATTCTTTCAAACGCGGCCGAATGTGCCAGTCAACCCAGTGCTAAGTATGAGTAATAACAGGAAGGAAGACGACGAAAAAGAGGCTGAAATTAATCTATAGAACTTAAGCATATGTTTAAATTCCTACTATATGCCAAACGTTTCGCTTTTGAATAGTCCGGAGTTTGATTTCGCTCTATTTGCCTCTGAAACCCTGGGTGGACTCAGAACCACTGTGACATCTTTACTTTCAAGTAACATTTTTCTTTTTTATATTTTTTCGCCGGAAATTAGACATTATAGTAGCAAGCGCTGGTGTCAAAAAGCTAATGTAATTTTTTTATGAGCTAATTAGAGATGCAGAATTTGCTTGGTTGGCGAACACAGCAGGCCAACAGTGACGTTCGATTTGTAAGAGACATCTTCAGTAAATCGTAATATACCGGCCATCCCTCAGATAGCCCTATATTACTTATTTGCCAAAATGACATTTAGTGTTTGAGCGCACGCACCAGCTGCATGTAATCTTCACCACGACTTGGAATAGGTATTCACGTTTTATGCTTTTAATAGAAATACGTCGTTTAGCTATAATACACATACGGAATGGAATAAAAACAAAATGGTACAGGTTGAATGAAGCAAGGCCAACAAAAAAACACTATACATAATATATTTGATGCGGGTCGCAGCTGAAATTTCCTTAACATTTTCGGTATCTAGTAAAGTGAATATATTTAATTTTCTAAATAGCTAATAAGCATTACTATAAGTAGTTGACATAAATCTTATCATAAAAACAATATTTAAATGGCCAGTATGAAATTTCTCCGTTTTTCTCATCCGCCCACGTAAATATGACGGTGAAATTCATAGGTCATAGAGGTAACGAAGTCGTATCGAGAGTATTCTAGCTGGCGTACATGGAATCATCGATCGGTGTGCTAGGACACCGATCGATGATTCCAACGGTGCAATTCGTAAAAATATATCTGCCACGAAATCTATGTATACATTGATATGGGAAACACAATAGCTAAGCAGCCCTTCTACAAGCGAATCATTTAACACTATACCTCAGAGGCGATAATGTGCATATGTTTCTGCGTTACAGGATTCCAGTGTCGTAACATGGCAAGGATCTGCGGGACAGTCGTAGCTTCGCTCCTCAGCAGCTCCATACAGGAAGTACACTCGGAGAAGTTGTAGTGACGAAGGCCTTCCGATTCGCATTGTGGACAGCGCGGCGCTTCAGCCGATGGGTACACTGGTGGTGTGTTTATTATTACAATTGTAGGAAAACACAGTACAAAATTAGAGGGACGACATCATTAGTTTGTTTAAACAACTGATGAAGTTTCTTGCTAGGCTTTGTCTTGTAAGTGTCAGTGTTAAAGATGAAAGGATTTAATACGTGTGACGCAGGGAAACGTTACGTAGGCTTGTGCAGATGGGAACTAGATTGGTCAGTTTTTTCTTTATATCGAAGATATACTTCCGTTGAATCTTCTTCTAATTCGACTGTTACATACTGAACTGTGAACACTTTTAAGGAACAGCATTCTTGATACACTAATATTGCAATTATAGAACAGAAAGATGTTGGATTGAAGTTGAAGTAAGATCCATTATGAAAGTAGTAACTGTGGAATTTTATTGGAATTCAAGATCTACCCGGGCAGCCCATTAAACCCTTTACCAATTGTGTGCTTCCTTGTTATTTTCACTTGGGGCCTTTCCCCAAGTGAGTTGCCCGACCCGACGGAGCTGCGATCTACATCTCCTGCTGGGTTAACCGGCATCGCCCTGAAACAAATCGTGCAATCCGTCGTTGATTGATGATGCCAGTACCAGGTTAGAGTAAATGCTAAATATCTACGGAAATTAATGAAGACTGTCACAGAAGTGACCCAATCGAGGATTCTTCCTTTCACTGAATGAGTTTAATTCAGTATTCACGCAAGATCAATTAGAACGGTTATCGAACGCTCTTGAATTGTAACGTAAACCCTAGTTATGACTGTCTAGCTCCCAATCGACAAAGCGGAGCATTCGCAAACTCGAAAGGACGGCAAAACACTAAAATAATACAATATTTTATGATTGACAGAGTTCTGCTTATCAGCATGTAAAAGTACCTGACCTCCAGGCCAGCTTGATAATGCCAAGAGGAGAAAACTCAGATTCAATTAAAGACAAACTGAACGTGAAGTACATACTCAACTGTCTGCTTTACAAATCGACCAAACATATTTGGAACCACTCCCGGTGTTTTCTCGTAAACGGGCCAACTATCGATCACATAATGTCCTCATGTATGATGGTCGCATTCACAAAGACTAGCAATCAATAAATAATCATATCTGAAGCATACTATAAGTTACTCCATCAATAAAAGAAATAAACTGTGACACAACTTTAGATTATATCGGGATAAGTATGACGCTGTTATGAATCATCATGTTAACAAACCGCAGGCGACCGCTGATTAAACGGCGACTGTTCATCTTCTTATCGAGTCAGAGCGTTGCTAGGTGAGTGTCCCCCGGGAAGTTTATCGGAGAACAGGCTCGTCGTAAGGGAAAGCCCTTCGCCATGTCCTTCGAAGTAGCTGTCATCCAAATATACTTTCACCAAAATTATCCATTCGCGTTGTCCATTTGCTCTCAGGTCGCTATCACTTGTGCTACACTGTGTCGAAGCAAAGCATCCGTATCTGTCACCGACACTCTCTACGGAAATTCACCTGTCTGAAAAGGCTCAGATCGACACCAACTAATCGGCGCGCAGTGACATCTGACTAGTCTGTTATTTGTATGTCCCCACAGACAAGAAAGCTTTTCCGCTTGAATTCGTTTCTTGTTCAGTATCGAACGATCAGATCGCGCCGAATCAGGCTGGTTAAGGGTCTTCAGCGCCCGCCTAAACAGCAGTAATTAATCACTCCACTCGACCGGACTCGTCGTGCCGAAGTCGCTCAAATGTCGTCTTTGTCAAGATATACCACTGCCATCACCAGCAGCAACGACAATAATACTGGCTCCGCGAAGTGACTTCAGAGTCTGCGGACCACAAGCACCATTGGTCCGTGGCTCGGTGTAATAGCTCTGTAGTTGTCGTTTTCGTCGTCGATACGCCTTTTGTTCGCAACGAATACAGCCCACACTGTACTGCAGCGTAGTAAGCACGCGTGAATGCCGCACAGGTGCATCACAGCTACTACATCAATGTCTAGATAGGACAGACGTTATTACTACGTCTGCGTCTGTCAGGTATCAGGCTCATGTCTGTTTATGATGTCTCGTCCAGCCGCCGCCGCCGGCGATGAATCTATTCTATCCTGTTAAAGCTAACACCGATGGAACTGTATAGAATACATAGTATGGACAAATAACATATACTAGTCAGTCAGGCCGGCCGGCGGGCGACAGACAGAGAGGCCGACAAAAATAACAGAAGTGCGCACCCGTCCTGGCAGCGCAGTATATTACGGGCAAAATGTAAGCGACTGGTAGCAGTGACGGCAGCGAGCCCGACAAACAAACCAGTAAAGTAAGTTAACGACAACGACGTAGAGGTCATTGCCGCTGCTGTTCGTACCAGCAGCTGATTAGGCTGCCAACAGCTATTTCGATGGGGGAGACAGCTGCTCAACAAGTCGTTTGTCGGGCCAAAATGGCCTGCCTTTCTGTGCTGCAACTTCTGCACGGTTGCGGGCGCTGCTTTTTCGTCGTTCAGGAACGGCCTCCGATTTCTCTTAGCGCGCGCACTCTTCCGCTCTTTCTGTAAATCATTAGCACACAAGTTAACTGACAAACTGACCAGCCGAGCGGTCGTCTGATTCTTGCATTATCTGTTGCTATTGCTGCTATGTAGAAAATCGATTCCACTGATGGCAAAGTTAATACGTCTCGAATAGCATCTGGCGCTGTGGTAACATATTAACAGAAAAAAAAAAACAAGTTTCAGCACGTCGTGTGGGGGCACGTTGTTATAATCATCGCCGACATATGGCAAGCGGTTCAACATGAGCGTGGCAGCAGAGCTAAACGATGTAACACAGGAGTCATCCGTCGCTGCTGCTGCCAATAACTAACATTGAAGTATGCATTACATTAGGGATAGTCGTGTGTGGAGTTTCGGCCTTCCGTTCGTCAGTTACTCTGATAAGTACCTATTATAGTATAACATTGCGGAATCAAACCGTAGAGAAAAAGGGACAAATTGGCTTGTTGTAGTAACATGAACTATGTGCCACGATATGTGACTTTCTTACATGAGAGACGTTACGACGCCGGACGCTGATTAACTGTTGTGCAACTGAGTTACTCGAATCGCTTTGTCCTGTATGCGATATGATCACTGAGATACAACAAACGTACGTACGTACATACGCACAGAAGTAATTGTATGTAAATAGCACTGCAATGTTGTTCTCCGCTTGACCAACGAACTACGGTAGGGATCGGCGCGTCAAGGATTGCGTCGACTAATGTCACTAGTGACTTGTCCTCCCTATAACCGAAGCTGGGCCCTAGCGGGTCGAAACCAGTTGGTAAGAGAGCTTTGGCCGTCGTTTCTCGACTCCACTTCACTTCGACTGGTCGGTCGGCCGGTCCCCTACCTACAGATCGAATGAGAGGTTAGGCAGCGTACAACAGATAGCACAATAACAAGGTCAACAACGACGACAATAAGCCATGGTTTTTGAAGCGGCAACGTAACCCAACTGATATCTTCGTAAAACAGAAAAGAGGCATGTTGTTGTTGGCTTCAGGTAATATTTATTTTCGTTCTCGGTATTGCCAGTCGTCAATCGACAGGAGACCCTCCCATTGATTTGAGGCCGAACAATTGCAGCCACCGCTACCGCTACAGGAACAACGCGGTAGCGACTTACTGCCATAACGGTCGCTCCGTTGGGTATGTTCGTTTGTTTCTTTACATATTGCACGTTTTGCGATGCTTACGCTGCTACGGTATTACCGTTGTCTAGCCATACGGTCTCTCTATATTTAATATCGTGAGTCACAGCCGCCGGCCGTCATCAATATCCCTAATATTGTTATTGTTACTGTTACAGCTTATGCTCGTACTGCTGTTTGGGAGCGTCGCACGCATCGACGTAACTTGCGTCGCGCATTGCGTCGTGTCGTCGGGTCGCTATGAGCTCGAGGCGTGAGGACTCCCACGTAGACTAGCAATAGCTAGTGCACGAGGTAGTGCCGGTGATTGTGCAGGACTGATCCATTGAACGTCGTTCGGCTGGTTTGGTGGCAGTTGAAGCGACAGGTGGTAGTTATATCGCCGCCGTCGTTACTGTTCGTTTTTTTCCGTCGTTGTCGTCATCCAGTATCGCGCTGTTGCCTTCATTGTTGTCTTTTGGTACCTGTTAGTGGTCCAGCCGAAGCAACGACAAGTGATGGTAGGCCTAACGCTATCCCTTTGGTCTTAGGCCATATGGTAAAGCTGGCCCGCTTATGTCGATTGAGAATAAGTAGAGAACAACTGATAGATGTGAGCACGATTTAGTAAGGGAATAGAAAACGACTTAGCGTAACTCATCGCACCGAAGCATCATATTCATACTGCCGTCGTTGTCGTTAGAATTATGACAATATTACACGCGAACGCGCGTTGATACAGAAGGATTATCGTCGCACATTACTAATCATTGCCATCGGAAACAGATAAGAAAAGGGCATAGTGTAACGCTGGCCTGATAAGAAAACAACGACCGAATCCATTCGTGAATGACAGATAAATTCTTAGTTAACAAAATATTCATGGGTCAAAGAAAGCGGCAATAAAGGAGCATACCTAAATAGCAACAATGAAGAACGATGTACGGATTTCCCAGTTCTTCTATTTTATTATTTTATTTATTAACAAGTATATACGTTATGCCGCAGTCAAACTATTCTTAGCAATGAAATAGTCATCAGCGACCCAATAGGTGGAAAAAATGTACGCTTTTTTCAACGGCGCATTGAAGCCTGTGCTCCCCAGTATCTAAAGTTAAACTCCATAGGCGGATCGCCTACAGTTTAGAGACATCTGGTTTGTTACAAGGATTATCATACAGCAAATAACCCAATCATTGTCGCCTTCAAAAGTCATCTCCATGTTGGGATAATTTCCGCATTACGAAATCCTAACTACATTTTTTGGCGGCCCGCTACAGCCCTCTCTGTTAGTCTAAAATACAATTCACTCTAGACAAACAATTATGTCTTAACGTTATGTCTTTCATTTGAACTTAACTAAGTTATCACATAGATAACTATTCAAGGTCTATGGATCTTACTTGTATGGATGCAGTGCCAGCAACCAAACCGCTGTCAAATAAAGGAAGACTCGTTCAATGTGATCGTACATTGGTAACGCGTTTGCTAAACCTAAGGCCACGTGGCGGTCTAGGCTCGAAACCGGTCTAGGTTAATAAACGCACTTGTTTCGTGCTTGAAACCAATATTCTCAAGCAATGCCCGACGCTTGAAACATCGGACGTAAATCTAAAGACATTGGTGCTTATATATAAACAGTAGACTACCGTTGTACTGACTGATCATCAAAAATTCTCGCCGCATACACAGCATATGTCGAAGCCTAACCCCAATGGCCACTGTTGGCTCGGAGCAGCGGATGCTAGCCTTTGGGACTGAAAGAGTGGATAAAAGCAAGTGATGTGATAACCATAAAAGTTATCGGAAGGGTCGAAGTTACACATCTTTTATAAATTATGAATGGGGGAGGTTAAGCAAGCTGGTTGAAAAGCTAACTTCATTCTAGATTTCGTTTCCTCCGGCCCACTCAACCGAAAGAAGCCGCTAATGTAATTAGGGCAGCTTCGGATACCGTGTACGATGAGACTCGAGTGTTTTCTGTCGGCTGATGGCCACTTTCGGCCCTTCTCGGTCTTTGGACGTTCGAGCCGTCTTGCGAAAAGGCAAGTTGCAGCTTTGAAACGCGCACATCTAGAGTGAACGTCGATTGGGCAAGGTCGGTCGAGATTATGAAGTAAATTCTGTTCGACTTCGACGAAAAGGACATAAAGCTAAAAAATTAATATCATTCCAATGATGACCTTATTTAGGACCATTTTATTAAGGAGTGATATATCTTTTGTCAAAAGAGGGTTCAAGAAAAGACGAATGGTGTGTCATCCTGCTGTAAGAAAATGCTGCATGAATTGGTTATAAAAATAATCGCTCTTTTCTATATTTCCATTTTGATCGGCGCATGAGCCTAGATGTATCAATAGTTTATCTTCAGTTTGTATCACTAGTCTATTATATAGAAGAATAAACTATTTAGTAAATCACTATCAATATAAAACGCGTTGTAAGATGACTTTTTTTTAAATGTCGCGCGTAATTTTCATTTTGCTCATTAGCTTGATAGCATACATGAAGCGGGTCAGAAAAAAACAACTCTATTAAGTAACCGCAAACAGACAAGTACTTGTGAACGAGTGCAATTTGTGAATGATTGAGTATTACATTATTTCTTATCTTTTTGTGTCTCGTTTCTAATTTGATACTCTTTGTTAGCTATTAGACTTAAAGCACTCTCAATTGGCTCATTGCTTTTGTGGTACGGACTAACGCGAAATGATGTATCTCAAATTCGATGGAACTAATGATATTCGTTTTGATTAAATGTAACCGCTTGAGAATTTGACATGAACATTCTAAATAATTTGAAAAATCATTACCACTCAGAGTAATATTTAAGGTAAGGAATTTAAAAATCAGCGCGATGCCGAATGTCTGCAAATTGAAACCCTGATCTGTCGGTACGTACACTTTGTATCTATAATGAAAACTGGAAATTACATTATAAATGTATTTAAATAAAATTCTATTTAAATTTCTCTTTTATCCTTAATTCCGTTTTTAAATTATTTCTTGGGTTAGTATGAATTAATAACACCATGTCCTGTGAAGCTGTGCATGCGTTCATTAAAGGGCTAAAATCCTTTTAAATATGATGATTATTAGAGAGGATCTGTGTATCTGCATATACGCTATAT